CTCTATTCTGACATCGCTCGTGCCAGAATGAAGAAAAAAAAGACACAACTGTGTTGTCTCTCCTTGGCGGCCGGGAGCGGGAGACTCCCGGGGCCCCAGGGAGAGTTTTTACATTTTTTTATTTTTTTTTTTTTTACAGCAGCAGAGCCGCCGGACAATAGGAAACTATTGGGCGGAGCTAGCTGTCACTGCTAGCTCTGCACAATCGTTTTCTATTTACTTTTTTCACTCTTTTTCTGTTCTGCTCGGTGCCTCTGAGGGACCGAGCAGAACAGCCGAGCCAAATGCCGCTCGGCGGCATTCGGCTATTCTCTCACTGCTGTTCGGGATCTTTCAGAATAGCCCGAACAGCAGTGTGAAGCCTGCCGGAGGTTCGGCTCAGCCGATCCAGATGTTGGATCGGCTGAGTCGAACTCCTTCTGCACTTCGGATCAGCCGAACATGCTGAGCATGTTCGGCTGATCCGAAGCCACACGAAGCAAGCCGATGTACGGCTGATTTCAGCCGATATACGGCTGAAATCAGCCGTACCAGCCTGAAGTGAATAGCCGAACAGTGTTCGGCTCACTTCACTTCTGATCGGTCATTCACTCGGCTGCCCTCGGCAGCTTTGTGAATAGACCCCTAAGTGACAAGCCTACTTGACTGAATTCGTGATTTGGAGCTGGTTCATGATTGCACGCAAGCAGGAGACGCTCTTCAGTCCCTGACCCAAGCACGCTCTGCCCTCTTGGAAGTCTTGGGAAGGCAGACTAAGCGACGTTTCTGACGAGAGCTCAACCAAACAATAGGTGTGAGGGTAGTGGGGAAGGAGTATAAAGTTGAGGCTTTTGCAGACGATATCCTCCTATCTCCTTACTGAATTTACTCTGGGAATTGGAGCACTTTCAATCAATTTCTCCAAGTCCTCCACATTGACTGTTTCTCTTTCCCAGGACATAGTAGTCCATTGTAGGGAAAATTTCCCCTTCACTTGGCAATCCGATTCTCTATCCATTTTCTTTTTCTTTCTCCTTCAAAGGACATGACCAGTAATGGCAGCAGTCATCTAATTGTGAAAGCAAAGTTTGATTTTAAGCAACAGAATGAAGACGAACTCTCTTTTTGCAAAGGTGACACTCTCTATGTCACCAGAGTGGAAGACGGAGGCTGGTGGGAAGGAGCATTGAATGGCAAGACGGGTTGGTTCCCCAGTAACTATGTGAAAGAACTCAAACCGAACGGTAAGATCACAAAATTGATTTGAAACATTATTTTTTGAAGATGTTGTTTTTAAACTCCTTATGTACTGTTATGTTTGTTGCAAGTTAGTGGTTTAGATAATATTAAAGCTATCGGAGCAGCCTTACAGCTAGGCAAGTAGAATTTTCTAAATGATAGATCAGCTAATGGCAGCGCACATATTTGTTTTAGAATTGGAAAGCAACTCTGCTATCTAAATTATACCTACCACTAATGAGCTTCATCACTACTGCATGCTTGCTGTGGAACCAAAGAAAATATTGAAATAGTAGATTGCGTATGATGAAAAATAACTGAACTATGTAAATACATTTATTGAAAATTTGTAGAATTGAAAAGCAATAATCAGCACTACCCTAACCCATCAAAAACGGTACCTGTAACTATTACATTAAATAACCTCCAATATGAATGTAAATTATATTATGATATTTCATATATAGTAATAATCCTTGTTGACATTCAGTAACCAAGCAGGAATGGACCCAGGTCCTTAACAATAGACTCTAAAATACTCAATATTGCACAACAGACCTAAATTTACCCCAACCATATTTATGTATTTTTAGTCTGTTGACTTACAATAAATGCATATATTTTCTTTTGATTTATATTGTATTTATCAGACTTCATCGAGATATCCAGTTTGTGGTCTGCTCTGTATCCACTTATCAAGCCGTTAGGAGCTAGTGACATCACTGCTAAAAAAAAAAAAAAGTGGAACGCAACCCACAATTTTAACTGTCTCCCAAAACAGTTACTTACAAGGCACCCCTCTAGTAATAACTGGTAAGGTTGCCAGTGTGCTTATTTCAGCTCTCAACTGAACTTTCAAGCCCTCAAATGGCCGGTATCATAGCTGATCACATGTGCAAGACAACTGCAGTCCAAATAGAGGCCAAGATGGCACCTTCCTTGGCTATAAAGGATAGGGGGGTGAAGTTTTCCACTTCAATTTCAACAGTGACAATCTTGACAAAGCACCAGATTAAAAAACAAAGCACTGATGGGGGCTAATAAAAAAATATGGACCAAAATGTGAGTACTTATCCAGGAGATGAAGAAAAAACGGTTTACAAATTAGGCTTATATTTCAATACTGCAAATTTGATTTTCTTTGCTTTATGGTAAATTCCAGGTTTAACGTTCACCTTATCTGTAAATTATCCGATAATCTCTAAAAGCAACATTTACATTTTTCGAAGTGAAGTCTGTTTTATCAAAAGAGGAAGTAAAATATGCATTCTTTTAGTGTTTCTACATCCCTCAGTGCTTGGTGTGTTCCCGTTCTTGTGCTCTGCACCCCTGGTAAAATCAGTAACTTTGGTCAAAGAGCATTTTTATACCATTCCCACTCATCTGTACATTGAGCACTGACCTTCTTCCCTTTCTGCAGACATTGCTACTTGTTTTTCTGTCTCTCTCAGAATATTACTTTATCTGAAACCCAGAGCCAAATACACATCTAAATACATATATGTGAACTGCTGTAATTGACAAATGATTTTCCTTTCAAATTGAGTTCATTTAAATCATGGCAAAACAGTATGTAGATGCAAAACTGGCAGGTATGAAATGACATGTGTATCCAACTTCGAAAGGAAATTAATATCTACAAACGATAAGATAAGAGAGATCCAACATAATTCTGGCACCTCTAGCAAATGTCAGAATGACAAATTATTTTTTATTTTGTTAAGCCGGCCATGTAGTCAAGATGGCTTAGACAGGTGGGTCACCTTCCCCCACTGCTGTTAGAAAGTACAGTTTTGTCACCATTTGGCCCTGCTGATTGAACCTTGAAGAAGCATTACTGCCTAATTAAATATATTGGGGTCTATTCACAAAAGGGTGAAGAGTTTGGAGAAGGCAGGAGAAGTGAACAATCTAGGACAACATAGCTGAACTAGAAAGTGAGCTGAATTGGAGATTTTTTCCGAATCGGCTATTTTCTCCTGCCTTCTCCAAACTCTTCACCCTTTTGTGAATAGCCCCTATTGTGATTGGTAAGCGAGGGTGAAAAGTGATGTTTTACATCTGCCTATACTTCAGCTTTAGACTTAGCCTTCGCTTATCTAAAACATATGTAGTGAATTTCATTTCAGTTGGGAAACATTTCTTTCAAATGCTCCCAATATTCCCCCATGAAAATATTTAGAAACATTTTTTTGTCTTGGCTCCCATAATGCACAACCAGATAATTTCTTTCTACTATAGCATAGAAATTGAAAATCTAAGCTGATTGCTTGCTGGGGGGAACACAGGCAGTTTTGCAATGCAAGTCATAAGACCCATTTTTTAGAAGTAAGGGAAAACTGGTTATATAATGGGTATAGGATATGTGGTAAACATCCAGTACAGTAAATATACTAGAAGTTCCTGAAAACAAAAATACCCAACTTCCTGTAGGGCTGGCTGCCTGGGCTATAGGGCTGCAGCTAACGATTATTTTCACAATCGATTAGTTAGCCGATTTATTAACTTTGATTAATAGGATAAAAAAATAATAATACTATAATTATTTAAAATAAAATACACAAATGCAGCATTACAGACAATGTTTACTTCAGAATAAAACGGTGTGCTAATTTTTTCAAATTGCACTGTACTGGAACGCAGGGCATTGCAGTACCGCACGTTCCAGTGCAGTACTGCAATATATACTGAGATATTTAAAGTCAATGTTTAGAATTATGAAGCGGTTACCTTATTCCTGCTGACCACATACATTTGCTTCTGTTTTTCAGATAAACCACTTTCCCCAAAAGCACTGAAAGGGAGCGACAGCCCACAGCTAACCAAAAACTATTACACTGTGGTAAGCAATCAAATCTTATCCAACTTGGAAATGCAATTCTATTTACAAAAAAGGAACACGCAGTATATTGGCTATAATTTAATTTGTTGGGTGTCCAGAGTTATTGCTTGCTTTATGCTTATGTTTTCAGATGTCACATGTTTTATTAAACTGCTTCTTGTCCAAATCTCCTTCAAAATTACCTTTCATAGTCCTAACCTCCATTTTGAGGCTGTTGTAGAACATATTACAACAATATGTAAATCTGTTCAGCTGTGCTGAATCCTGTGATCTCATATCTCCACCACAAATATTTCTTTTCATTAAAGGGTTTTACAAGAATTTGAAAAATATGCAGACTGCTGTAGATGTGGAGGGCCCGGCTTTCCCTACCTTTTTGCCTCCAGTTATTTTCTCTGTTATGACAGTGCAGTTGTTGTATACCTAGAAAAAGCAGAATATGTTGGCCTACGCAAATAAGACAATGACTTTGAGAAGGCCAGGCCTCCCCAAATTTCTGTTTGTCAGGTTCAAAGTGCAAAATAAATTGTGCATTTCCTTTAAATATCTTATATAGCCTAAAATCTTGTTAGTCAATGCCCATGAATTGTTTATTGCCCCCCGATAATTGCTGGCTGTGTGCTCCTCCCTCTACTCCATCTCAGTCGTATACACTTGGCAGAGCCAGGCTTAACGGTTCATGGAGTCTTCCCCTGCTCTTTGAGAACATTTTATCTTCATTACAGGCAGATCAGGCCTGCTGTCAGACTGGCCTCTAAGGTGTGTCGGCAGCTTTTGGGATTGTACTTCTGAATTTTAGAGGCCACAGCCTCTGCGCTTTGTGCTTTTCAGTAATGTGCTGTAAGGGTGAGTCTACTACATGGGGACGAATGGGAACGTTTACTGCCTGTGTGGCAAGGCCACATAGGTTATCACTGAAATCGATAGTGCAGCATTTCTCAGAAGCATAGCAAATGCTCTGCTATGGTGCCTTCTGTAGATTATCTGTTGTTATCTGCCAGCATGCTCACCTGGGAGTTAGCCAACAGTTTACATGTACTTTAATTAGGGCTATTCATATAATTTCCAGGGGACCACATCCCAATAATTACAACCAATCTACAAAGAATTAAAGAATTATGGACTTTTTAGGTACCCATAATAAGACATATATAATAAAATCTTTTCTTCGATATATACATGTTAAAATGTAAATAAAAAATAAAAAAAGTAGAATGATGGTTGTGACTAATATATACACATATATGCAACTACTGTAGACCATGCATATCCAATTGTTCATTATTAACCAGTTGACATCCGCGGTGTTAAACCCCCTTCCCATCCAGGCCATTTTTCAGTATTCAGCGCTGCTGTATTTTGACTGACATTTATTCCGTCATGCAACGCTGTACTGAAATTAATTTTATACCATTTTTTAGGGACACATAGAGCTTTCTTTTGGTGGTATTTATTCACCACTGGGGGTTTTATTTTTTACTATATTAAGGAAAAATGACAGAAATTTAAAAAAAAAAAACTGTTTCCCCTATATTAAATGATAAAACATTTATAATTACCCAATTTTGTGGTAAAATATAAAAGACGGGGTCACGTCGGGTAAAAAGACACCAAACATGTCAAGCCTTAAAATTGCGTGCGCGCGCGAAACCTCAAAAAACGATAATACCCAAAATTGGCCACAGGCGACACTTTAAAAGCTTTTACCGCTCATCAGTTTAGTGTTATCAGTGATTGATGGCCCTAAAATGATTGCTCTCACTGCGACGTTCGCGGCGATATGTAACGCGTGTAGCGCAATTGTCGTTTTCGCGCGCTGGTGCACCGGACGCATATTTATGTTTATATGTGCCTAAATGTGGGGGTGGGGGAGTTAAACATTTTAGGTTTTTTTTTTAACTTTTTTTATATGTGTGACTTTTTTATTTTTATTTATATATTTATTTATTTTTGCACTTATTGTTATTGCTATTATATAGGGGGATAACAATCCCCCTATATAATAGCAAAGGCACACTAACAGGTCCTCTTTTTATGGAGACATTAGGGGGTCTCTAGGACCCCTAATGTCACCTGTGGACCCCAAAAGAAGCTGATGAAGCAGAGATCTGCTTCTTCCTCCTGACGCCCTCCCGAGCTGGTCCCGGGGCCGCAGATGGGGTAGCAGATCCCGGGATTGAAGGTGAGGGGTGGGGGCACATATAGACGATCGGCAGGCCATAGAGCCGCCGATCGTCTATATGTGAAACACCCGGTAACGGTGTGAAAATACCCGTGCGCGCCCCCGCAGAAAAAAAATGACGTCTAGAACAATGCAGCAGTGCCGTCCGTCGAACGGCAACTGGTTAAATCACACTCGGTGTAAAACCATTATGAAAAGGTATACATTGCATAACATTGGAAAACCGCATACCCTGGATGGAATGTACTCTACACGTTTGGTGGAGATGCTTCCACTTCCTCAGAAGCTCAACACGAGCCACTCTTTCCAGAAACATTTTGTTAAAACCTACCAGGCTGTGCACTCAAGCCATCAAGGACAGCTCTTCACATACCACACCATGAGCAATATCTTATGGGGATACTAGCAATGCTGGCAGGAGAGTCCTGTCTTGGTGATACAATGGTAAAGTGTGGAGAGGGAGAGCCCACCTCCTCTCACACCAAGTTGTATCTATTAAGAGTAAAAATGTAAATTCAAGCTTTTATTGCAGAACTGACTGAATGCTTGTTACCAGTTATATAGTTAAGTGACACATTATGTTGAGTGGTGAGTCCATCTTAAGGCTTTTAAGAGCAATATTATTCATACAAAATGTATAATCCTTTGCCATCCCAGTTGTGCTTTTTTAGAGCCTAGATATTATTGGAACACAATAGACATTCTGTAACTCTGCTCTTCCTTGTTATATTTTTAATGTGTTAACTTTGTTCTAAATGAAAGGTATTACAAAATATTCTGGAAACAGAGCGAAGCTACGCGAAAGAACTTCAGTTACTTATATCAACTTACCTCAGACCTCTTCAGTCATATGACAAGTAAGTTAACGTAAACTTAAAAAAGACACATCGGGGCTACCACTGCTGATCTCTTCTGAAAAATTGTGTGGCTGTCATGCTGACCTTTTTTCTTCATTACTTTCAGCTGCTAATATAGATCAGTAGACAAAATGTTTATTTTTTTTAAACACAGTTGGGAAGAAAGTTAAAAAAAAATGTCTTCCATTTCTGTCTGTAGTACCATAGGGGAAATGTTCTCTTGCTTTTTGATCCTGTGACACCCGTAGAAGAATTGGGGTTGAGGTTGTCACTGGGTTAGGATGGCACAAACAACAAAAGAACATTGTCTGAATTTCTAACGCTTCCTTACTGCAATAAAAGTGTGTTTGTTTTTTCTGTGTCCCGTTTGGAGAGCTTTTCCACTGCTTCCCGCGCTGACGGTAAATTAGGTGAAATCTCCCTAACCGGAAATTGATGGCATTAAAATAAAAAAAACAGAATAACGTTTTTTTAATGGAATTCTGATGACACAGAAGCTTTCCTGTCCGTCTGTCTGTCTTTTTAACCACCTCCATACCCTCATATTAAAAAAGAAAATGGTGGTGAGGTGGCTGTGTATTTCCAGAGTGCCCTTTATAAACGTCACTTTGGTAAATACACACAGCCAGCCAGCTTGCCAGTGAATGACTGTAATCTGAGCTGTCCTTTAATGACTCAGATCAAAGGCACAATCTACAGAACCAATCAGTGCTGCTTTGTACCTTGTGAGCACTGTGACGACCAGTTATGGCAATCACAAATATAAGATGTCATTCACACCCAGGCATTTTGTAACTCCTTTCCATAAGCATGACAAGCTCGGCAAGAGGAATCCCATTCTTGTCAAGGCCCATTCTTGTCACGCGAAGCGCGAATATGCACATGATTCTGGAGCAGAAACATGCCTTTTGGCCTCATAGACTTTAATGGAAGTGACTGAAAAATGCTTCAGAAATAAGTGTTTACCTGTGTTTTTTCAGGCACACCCATTTAAAAGGGTATGGGGCCAAAAATGCACAATTCTGCTCCTGTAGTACAAGTAACGCATGAAAATGCTTAAACGTGCACAGAAAACACCTGGCTTCGCTTAGGTGTGAATGGAGGCTAAACACTCCAGTGTTCACATAACACATAACACTTCATTAATGAATATTAATGAAAGCAGGGGTCGTAGGCAGCAGCAGATTAATAGTGAGGGCTTGTAATAGAATGCTGGATGTTTTGTTTTAACCTATTTACCGCCCCCTCCTTTCCTGTTATATTTCATCCATCCTGTCTCTCTGTGTGACCTGTATAAACTCCTTCACATCCGTTATTTTGCACATTAACGCCCTCATCGTGTGTGTCACCTGTACATTAATCCCTCCATCTCCTCCTCCCTCTGTGTATGACCTGTACATTAATGATGCGCTGTATCTATTGCACCATTTTTTTATACCAAGTTCTAACCCCCTCAATACCGGCCTATTTCTATATATCCAAAAAAATGTGGCCGAAAATTAGATCGCAATGAGGTGTCTACTTTCCAAAAATGGGTCATTTCTGAGTTGCTTGTAGTGTCCTGGCATTTTTATTTAATGTTTTATAACAGAAAGTAAGGGAAACCTATTATTTTCATTTTTTGTTCTTCCTTTTATATTGTATAATAATACTAAATAATAAAAAAAATCCAGTGGTTATTAAATACCACCAAAAGAAAGTTCTAACTGTCTTAACAATATGTTATAAAATGTATTTGGGTGCAGTGTTGCCTGATCAGGTAATTGTCAGTCAAAGTATCACAGAAAATTATGCTTGGTATTGAAGGGGTATATACCGACTGATATTCCAATGATGAACCTATCTATTCATCTACCATGGGTAGTGACCAGCAAGCAGGGAGCAATATTGCTTCATCCCAGTACTAGTGTGAAAACTTGTTAAAGGCTCATGCTGTTGTTTTTTGGGTTTTTTTTAGGTTAAGTGCTGCGGATATCACATTATTGCTGGGAAATTTTGAGGAGATCTACACCTTTCAGCAGACACTTTGCCAGGCACTGGAAGAATGTGCAAAGTAAGATGTTACAAGATTTTGTGATCGATCTTTGTTTCCTGACACTTTAATGGCATACTTTTATTTTGAACCATATATACAGAACAATATCATTGTGTAGATTTCTGAGATTTATCAGTGTGTGTGTGTTTTATTTAGGCAAAACAATAAAGCAGACTGGAATGACACTTAAACTGGTCACACACCTTAAAGTGTATTTCCATTTTTGCAGTCAAATTTGAGAAAACCTCCTCCTATATGTTCGTTATATGTTCTTGTTCTCACTGCATACTGAAAAATAACTTTAAAGGAGAACTATGGGGTCAGTGTTTTTCCCCATAGTTCTCCTTAGGGTAACGGGAGGACCCAAACTAGCGTCCTCCCGTTACCCTAAGCTCAGTATACCGCGAGCTAGAGCTCGCGGTATACTGAGACGCCGCAGCCGGAGCGGATCCCGACGTAGATGACGGGATCCGCTCAGCTGCGTGAGTGACAGCTGGCTCTGCCTATCTAGAGGCAGAGCCAGCTGTACCCGCCCCCTCCCCCGTCCGTTCCGCCAGTCAGCGCTGGCAGATCGGAGCGGGGAGAGGGGAATCCAGCCCCTCCCCCTGTCACGGCAGAGAGCCGTGACAGGATCAAGAGGCGAGCGAACGCGGTATGTGTTCGCTCACCTCCCGATCTACTGAGCCGACCTGTGACAGTCTCATTGTCACAGGTCGGCTAGAACTATGAGGTGAGTGAAAAGCACTCACCTCATAGTTCTCCTTTTAAAAAGCAGGCAAGTTGGCTGATTCCAGGTTTTTCCTTAGCCCTTTCACCATGTTCTGTCCTAATGGAGGATTTATCTGATAAGTTTCATTAACATACAGTGGACAAGACCCCTCACAGCCCCTCCTAACTTTTCAAAGAAATAGTAAGAAGAAGAAATTTTAACCCTTAAAATCATATCCCAAGTAAAAGCAATTTAAACTGTAAGAAGCATTATTATTTTTTTTAACTTGCGCTATGTGAATGGGAACATGTAACAAATATAAAAAAGGTGTTATCTCAATTTGGCTGCAAAAGTGGAAATACACTTTAAGAATCACTTGGTTCCCCCCTGCTAGCAAGCAGTAGATCTATCCAAAAACTGAAAAAAGAAAACCCCTTTCAAACAGGTTTAAACTTACCTGTGTCTTCGCCGCACGCTCCAGTCTGCGGCGAAGACACAGAACATCAGAAGAGTCTCGGGCGGCTGCAAAGGATCTTGGGGCATGCGCACTTCAGATCTTCGGCCGGGAGACGAGGAGAGACACAATTTAAGTCTGGAGCAGCTTGCACTTGCACAGACTCCGTGGGACATCATAGAAGAGGAGGACAGAGGAGTCGGTGCTGGAGGGACAGCTCAAAACTACACTAAAAAAGATGATGATCAGATTAAGAAGCATGATTTAAGGTAAGTCCTTACACTAACATTGGGTGGGGAGGAAAAAAAATAGCCTTTTAATGTCACTTTAAATTGAACCTGTCTTTGTAGAATATTTAGGTCACCATTTCTGACTCTTAAGGCCCCATTCAAACTGAGCGATATCGCTCATATTTCCACGCGATATCGCTCTATGTAGCTTCTCCAATGCATTTCAATGGAGCTGTTCACATCTCACAGCTCAATATCGCCTGAAGCTCGTCGCTGTAGCTTGTCGCTCCTACATGACCCTTTTTTCTGCAGATTTCGAGCGATTTTGCTCCTGATTGCATACAGCCCGATAGGAACAAGTCGCGCAATATCGCACATATAAAATCGCGCGATTTTCATGTCGCTCAGTGTGAATGGGGCCTAATCCATTGAGTTCGATTCTACTAACTTGTAACACAATATACTAAATATTAGGATTAGTATTTGGGCCATATTTGAACAATTGTGTCAGCCAGAATTCCCCCTTGTTTACATTTTGTCTTACATTGAGCGGGTGCAGCCTGATGGGGATTTCTAAACACTGAGTTCCCCGTCAAGTCCGCTCTGCTTTTGATTGACAGCAGGCAGTGGGCAGGTGCCATAACTAGCCTACTATTTGCTTTGGTACCCGCCCGCTACCAGCTGTCAATCAGCAGCAGAGTGGACCTGTTGGGGAACTAGGTTCTCTTAATTCCCCATCAAGCTCCACTCGCTGTCAGCATCACTGGTTGTGCCAACAGCTGTATCCCGACATCTTCCTTAACAACCAATGACACCCAATGTCAGTGACATCCACTGTCAGCATCATTGGTCGTTAAGAACACTGTCAGCTGTTGCTGACAGCTTCCTTAACAACTAGTGATGACCACTGTCAGTGAAACTGACAGTGGGTGGAACCTGATGGGGACTTCAGAGAACTGAGTTCCCCATCAGGTCCGCTCTGCTGCTGATTGACAGCGGGCAGTGGGTGGGTCTCATTAGTCATTAGCAGGCTGGCTATGGCACCTGCCTGCTGTCAATCTGCAGCGGAGTGGACCTAATGGGGAACTCTGTTCTCTGAAGTTCCCATCAGGCTCCGCCACCCACCATATAAGTTCTGGGCCGCTGCACCTGTTTGTGTGACAGGCACAGCTGTGTTTTTATCTTGGCTTTACTGAGCTGCACTGAAGATGTGAATTTCCGGTTTGGACATCCGGCCCCATTGTGCATCCGCACTGCAAATGGTGGTGGTTGCGCCAAATTCATCTACCTGGATGCACAATTAAATTCTAAAGAGTGTCACAGGCACTCTATGAATTCCAGTGACTGTGTTTATCACTTTATCCACTAGATGTCAGTATTTTGTTCTACTTAACAGCATGCAAAACATGAATTTTTGACCTATAAACTATGTGACTTCTGTCAAAATGGCTTAAAGCAGACCTGTCATCAAAATACAAAGTCTACCTATTTTTGAACCTTCCCCATGTAAAAAAAAAAGCAGTGTTAAATTTTTTTTAAAATAATTAACGGGAGAATGTACAAAACGGTCTCCTAATGCCCTGGCTCCTGGAAAGCTCACCTAGGTGAGGATCTTTACTTGTCACAAGCCACAGCCAGGAAGGTAGTAAGAAAGGATGGACACTGGTGTTTCTCCTATAGGCCCTTTTTAAACGGGTGCCATCTGTTCCAATTAGCAGGGGATTCTTGTACGGATCCCCTGCTGCTCTGAGCAGTGGACAATGGATGTCACTTTTGTGACTTCTGTGTCCGTTCAGTTTTTTTTCTGCATCGTGAAAATGGTCGCTGTAATTTGGGAGTGGCAGGGGTGTGTCCATTGCCTAAATACATTGTGCTGGATGGTGTCCTTCTTTCTCATCTCAGAAGTTGGGAGGTATCTGTAAAGGATGACGTGCACTTTAAATATAGTTTACTAATCAGCTTTTAGTTGATTATATCTTATATTGTATTTCGTGTTCTGGACTACTGCACATCTGTTTTGTCCCTTGCTTATCAATAAAAACCCAAGTGTTCCTACTGGAAACAAAATATTTGTGCATGTTGACTGTTATTCTTATTGTGTTAATAAATCTTTTTTTATGGTTACAGGTTGCATGAAAATCATCAGAAAGTTGGAGGTTGTTTTCTGTCTCTTTTTAATCAGTTTAAGTGTTTATACTTGACGTACTGTGCGAACCACCCCTCAGCTGTGAATGTCCTCACCCAGCACAGGCAAGTGGCTTAAAGTGAACCTGTAAGGACTGAAATAAGGGGCTTCTTACTAAAGACTTCTTTTTTTTTTAGGATTGGGGGCTGCCAGTCTGATTATTGATTCATCAGCTAGTGAGTCACTGACCTCGAACAAGCAGCCAAAACTAGAGTGCAGACTTTTTACATTTCACTGGTTGCATGCTTGTTCTTGGTAAGTGACTGAATTGGTAGAGAAGCCAGGACCTCCATGACAGGCCCTAGCAAAATTGCTGTGATTACACAATTTGTTTAATTTGTAGACTGCTCTAAGACCACTATTTAGGATCTTACCTAATGGCTCAATGGCATAAAATAGTTAAATAAACTATATGTATTTATAGGTTACCAATACTCTGAAGTAATAATGCCCTCCTGATTTTTGTAATTGGGTCAGTGCACATAATTGTGATATTTTAGTTATAGGTGGCGTGTGGTAAGCTTAGTCAGAACATTGGCTTCTTGTAGCTTACGTGTCTTTGTTATTGAGTCTTGTCCCCATCCATTTTGGAGTTCATGCTGCAAATTGGTCTTTTCACTTTGGCCACATTCTGCATTCTATATAAAAAAAAAATCCAGTATAGAGAATACCTCTTATACTTACTTTATATGCAGAACTGGGAACTTAGACACAGAAATCTTACCATGGGAGTCCTGAAGAGATGCAAGAGGTCTTTAGATGCTTCCAAAGGCTGAATTAAATTATATGATTATATTTGGTTGTACTGACACTTTTATATGACTTTAACACACTAAATGCAAATTCAGTAGTCTTTTTACACCAATAAATTAAGCTTAAAGGAGATACTGTATAAGATGAATTACTAAACCAGGGGCCCATTTATTATTATCTGCAGCATAGCAGCTGACAAGGTCAGCCCTACTTCGCATGATCTCCTGTGTCTGGTAGATGAGTTGTTTTAAAGGAATACAAATTGGTCTAGTTTGGATATCTTTTATAATGATTAGAGATCTCTGAGATGTCATTCCACAGCTCCAACAAAACCTATTTGTCTCTGCTACCTAGCAACTGACCAGCTTCCCAGCGTGCAGGAGAAGACTGGTCCCTGTCCATAATACATGATGCATTGACTAAAGCTGTCAGTTCACCACTATACACATGGCAAAAGAGCATGAAATCTGACTTAAAGGAATCTTTAACCATTTAAGATGTTCAAGAGCAGTTTGAATGAATCTATAGCTAAAGTGAAACAGTAGTTACATTTTTACTCCATGAATAGAGAACATTTTTGTCAGAGGGTTCTTGAAAATGTGGTAGGTTCGTGCATTTTTAGATGTACAACATGTAAGAAGAAATTCTGAAATTTACAAGAGTGCCATAAGGGCAAAGTGGGAGCAGATTAGTGATGCACCGATAACGCGTACCGGTTTTTTTTTCTTCAGTACTCGCCGATACAGAATACCAAGTACCGGAAGTCCCATTCAGGAAGCCAGACGAGAGAGCATGGAGGCGGCTTTCCGGTCCAATCAGGAAGCCGGGCAGCGTGTAATGACGCGCTGCCCCGCTTCCTGATACCAGAAGTATTGGGCTAGGCATCGGAGCATTTGGGCGAGTACAATTACTCGCCCAAATACTCGGCATCAGCACCGATACTAGTATCGGTATTGGTGCATCCTTAGAGCAGATCTTTCGGAACTCTGTCTTAAGCTAAAGCTGAACTCCAGCTTTAAAAATACTAGGTGTTCTTTGATTTGAATAAGGGCTGGTGAGGTCACGGCCCCAATCACCGTCCAATCAGAGAACACCTAGTATTTATTGAGAAAAACACCAGGTTGTTTACTGAATGGCTACTGTGCTGAGCGAGTGACCCCTTGTTTTAACAGCACAGGAAAAGTTGCTCAGCACATTGGCTGTTCCTATACCCGGAAGACACTGTAGTAGCTGTGCCTATGATGCCCCTGGCCCTGCTCATTATATGACTAATGTAAGTATATATACTTTAAAGCTGGAGTTTAGCTTTAAAGTCTATGTCCAGTATAGCCATTAAGTTTTTTTAAAGGAGAACTATGGGGTCAGGGCTTTTCCCCATAGTTCTCCTTAGGGTAACGGGAGGACACAAACTAGCGTCCTCCCGTTACCCTAAGCTCAGTATACCGCGAGCTACAGCTCGCGGTATACTTAGACGCCGGAGCGGATCCCGACATCGATGTCGAGATCCGCCCAGCTGCGTGAGTGACAGCTGGCTCTGCCTATCTAGAGGCAGAGCCAGCTGTACCCGCCCCCTCCCCCGTCCGATCCGCCAGTCAGCGCTGGCGGATCGGAGCATGGAATCCAGCCCCTCCCCTGTCACGGCAGAGAGCTGTGACAGGATCGAGAGGTGAGCGAATGCCGGTATATGTTCGCTCACCTCCCGATCTACTGAGCCGACCTGTGACAGTCTCATTGTCACAGGTCGGCTAGAACTATGAGGTGAGTGGAAAGCACTCACCTCATAGTTCTCCTTTAAGTTTTGGACAGAGAAAGAAAGTGCCCCCAATCAATTTTTTTTTATATATCTCCGTCCTAGTGGGTAGATTTCCTTTACCTTCCTGTTCTGCAGATACAACAGGAAGTATCTCCAAAGTGAGGTGACTACTCCTCTTGACAGTTGTCACCAAAACAGGTGTCCAGATTGGAAGATTCCTACTCACCATCTGTTCTGGTGACACATTTTGCGTTTTCTAACACTATCTGGCCCGCTGACAATGATCCCCAGGACAAATATAGGGGTGAATTTCCCCAGTGGGGACAATAAAAACCTGACCGGGATTCTAACTCTTCACCAAAACTGGAATAATATGTTTTATGTATAGATACACACTTTAAAATATTTCTGTTGTGTATGTCCTGCTATGAGTAAAGACTCTGTGGTCTGAGAAATGTGGGTAATTATTGATGCAGCGTGATTTTACCTCCTGTCTTTAATACCTTGCCATTTTATTCACCTGCTGTGTGAAAGTGGTGACTTTATTAGTAGATGATGCATAGAACCTAAAGGAACAATCAGATTCTTCCTTACAGATTAGAAAATAAAACTGGTTTCATATATACAATTATTTTCATGTTTTTTTACCCCTTCCATTTCAATTGAAATTGGACTTATTCTTTTTATAGTGATGAACTGGAGAAGTTTATGGAGGCTCAAGGAGCTGCCAGCCCAGGAATTCTGCTGCTGACCACAAGCCTCAGCAAACCCTTCATGAGACTGGAAAAATATGTCACTCTCCTTCAAGAACTGGAAAGACACATGGAGGTGAGTGACAAATATTGTCTTTTCAACTTGTTGATCTACAACCCCTATTCCAAAAAAAGTTGGGAAGCTGTGTAACATCTACATAAAAACAGAATGCAATGATTTGCACATATAATAAACCCATATTTTGTTTCCAGTAGAAAATAGAAAACGTATCAAATGTTTACTCTGAGGAAATCTACCATTTTAAGAAAAAATTAGGTAATTTTGAAATTGATGGAAGCAACAAGTCAGTGCAGCAAAAAGCTGGCAAATGGAAGTGTTAAGGTGCCCATACACTGCTCGATTCTCGTACGAGAATCGGGCGAAATCCCGCGATCGTACGAGAATCGAGCAGTGTCAACTAAGACGTGCGACCGTTTCTACTGTACGGTCGCACCTCTTTTGTCGAGCCAACATGTTCGAAAACCCGCAGAGAATCGTACGATTCTCGGCGGGTTTCTAGCCTGCTCGTCCGATAGCTGCGGAACGGGCCGGTGTGCGCACGCGCACACTGCCCGTTCTGCATTGCCGTCATCGCAAGTACGATCTGCCCGTCCAAGGTGGGCAGATCGTACGGGCTTTCAGGAAGCATACGACCATCGCAAGACAAAAGTCTTGCGATTGGTCGTAAGGTGTATGGGCACCTTTACTGACAAGAAAGAGCTGGAAGAACATTGTGCAACTAATTAGGTCAATTGGCAACAGGTCAGTAACAGTTGGGTATAAAAAGAGCATCTTATGCTGGGCACACACCTTACAACCATCGCAAGACTTTTGTCTTGCAAAGGTTGGTTGTAAGGTAATTAAAAAAACATATGATCTGCACATCTTGGACCGGCAGATCGTATTTGCGATAATCGCAAGCCCGCCCCGCTGAGGGGCGGGCTTCCGATGCCTACAATGCTGAACCGGCAGTGTGCGTTTGCGCACACCGGCCCGTGCGGCATTTATCTTACGAACATGCCACACCCGCCGACAATCGTACGATTCTCGGCGGGGTTTCGAACATGTTCCTAAGAAAAAAGTCGTGCGACCTTACAGTAGCAGAGGTCGCACGCCTTCCACACACCTTTCGATAATCGTACGATCGCGGGATTTACCACGATTATAGTATGATTGTCGCAAGGTGTGTGGGCACCTTTAGAGAGCCAGAGTGTGTCAGAAGTAAAGATTGGGCAGAGGTTCACCAATGGGTGAAAAGCTGCCATCGTAGCTTTCATTCATAAATACTGTTATTACTGTTTTGTGTAAATAAAAGAAGAACCCCTTGCAGCTGAAACCGCTGTGACCCTGATAGTTCTGTCACTGACTCCAAGCTGTAGAAGGACTACAGATCGCAGCAATGCAGAATGGCACCGGCTATAGAGGACTTAAAATCCCAGCAATACTTTATACAGCAATGCATAATAATACCACCAGCTATAGAGGGCTACAAATCCCAGCAATACATTATACATGCAGAATAATACTACCAGCTATAAAGGACTACAAATCCCAGCAATAAATTGTACAGCAGTGCAGAATAAAGCACAGGACAGCAACAGCAGGCAATATTTCTAAAGTAGCTGTGGAGCTCCAGTTTTGCTGCACCTTACCTGTAAGTACTCTGTACTGCCGCTCATGCAAATGCTCAGTATTGGCACCGATACTGGTATCGGTGCATCACTAGTTGAAATCTTAGTTAACCCTTAGAGCAGAGGGTGATGTTTGTTAGATGCACTTTGACATTGCGGCCTTGGGTGCCAGAGGACTTTGTCCCAACACTGACTATTACCAATTAAACTAAACTGCACAGGTTATTACAAGAAAAATATATTATTGCATACAGCAGGAAAAGCTAAACTTAGCAAAGGTTATTGCCTCCATAAAATGTGACTAGCCTTTTTTTTCATAAACTGACATAAACAGCACTATTTCACTTCCTTTTCATATATTTGAATATTCCTTTCTGTAATAATGACAATGCTGTGAAAGAAAAAGGCGTGGGAGGCAAACATGTACTTGGTTCTTTCAATGATTAAGTTTTTCGTTAAACCTACTATAATCCTGTGTACCTCCATGCTGTTTGCCTGTTACCATGAGACTTCCGGCACAATAGTCCGTGGAGAGTTGAAGTGAACCTGACCTGGCCTAAAATTGCTTAAAGTGACCACAGTGTTGTGGTATTATAGTGCAGATAATGCGTGCCATTTCAGGTAATTGTATTAGTTTTCAAATGATTGTGTGTCTCCGGAGTTCCTTGGATCCTAGGTCCAGGCTGAACACCGGGGCCCCGCTTCTCTCCAATTTGAAATAAGGCTCTGCACCTCTCCTGTTGCGAAGTTTCACCCTCTTTTAGACAGTATGTGAAATACCAGAACCTTTCTTGCCTAGGAATTCCTATTGCATTTCAGTTAACTTGGACTGAGAAATAAAAATAGTTATATCACAACAGAATAGGACATGCTGTGTTTTATGTAGATGCAACACGATACATGGATAAACCAAAAAATAAATGCAAATGAACACTTCCGTAAGATCCAATTCAAAATTAAGGCATTGCTTTCTATATCATGTAGTGTAAAGTAACAGATTCACTTCATGGCCCAGCCCACTCTCCAGTTTACCAATTGGAGCAGCATGAAGAATAGAAAAACCCTTTGTAAGCCCCTCTTTACTGCTGCTCTATGTAAAATGGGCAAAGCTCAATGATCGGAGAAGTAGGGAAGCTGATAAATCAAATGGGCAATTGACATAGGAAATACACTAAAGCCCACTTTGACACATGAAGCCACATCTATCAATGCATCCAAGGCAAGACCTGTCCCAGATAGTATGTGTTGGCCATGACAACCAATTAAGTTTTCCATTTGTTTCTTAGTCAATAGGAAAAAGAACTGAAAAAGAAGCAGCCTTTTAAGCTGCTGTAGTTCCACCCACTGACTGCTACATCATTTTTGTGTCCTGTAGTGATGTAGCAGCCAATGCATGGAATCGCAAAACGCAATGCGAACACAGAGGGGGCTGTAGCTCTGTCAGAGAGTTAAAACTGAAGTCAAAGCTCCCCAGACTACTAATTATTACTAAATCCTTTTTTACTGGCTGTCTGTTTTTGAACAGCCAGCATAAGGTGTTCTTAGCTTATTTTGTGTTGTTTTTCGGTTTCTTTTTACTCAGTGTTCTTTAAAAGCCTTCCGTTTTATAGAGCATCATAACTCAATCTGAAATATACACATTAGTGAATGAGTCGGAGCATTGACTCATCCTTTGCACTCCCCCTCCTTCTTAATGGCTTAGTTCTGTTAGGGGTTGCAGGGGTGCAGATGAACAAGCATGAACTTAAAATCCAAAACCATTTTCGTTTCCCTTTAATACTCAAGACTTTGGCATTGTAGCACACAGAATAACCATATATAGCTTTATGTGATAAATAAGTAATGTAACCAAAAATAATAGTCCCAGCACTCAGCCACTCTCTGAGATTATCCCATTAGCCCGTTTATGTAACTGCTAGCACAGCAGAACATAGGGGCCCGTACTGCATACTCCCCAGGTGAGTACTTGGAAAAGGGCAATGTAAGCCCAAGTTATTTTGATGTGCTGTGCTGTACATTAACTGTGGTAGTAGCTAAATAAAGGCAATAATCCCAAAATACATCTGACTCCTTGGACTATTGTGCTTCAGTCTTGACGCAATCAGATAGGCAGTGGCCTCTATCTTACCTGCTTTTACTTCTATTATGTGTGGTTTACTCTGACTATTCCGTGATAAACGAGTTATGTACCACCTCTTACTTGAGTAGCAAATAGGATTTTGACAGTTAAAAAGGGAAAAAAAACACTCCTCTACCTATTATAGTAGAGTGGAGAAGGGTTAGAGTTTCTGTCTGTTTGTACTTTTTTTTTTCTCACTGCCCCAAACTTGCTAATTGCTGGTAATAATGGTAAGATAGGAGTATATTTTCACTTTTCCTTCTTCAGTAAAAGGTTGGCATGATGTAATACTGTGCTTCTGGCAAGGTCTCTTAAAGGGTAGCTATCGTTAAAAACTAAAAATAAATATGTATGTATATATTGAATTTCCTATCGCACTCCTAATAACCATATCCATCTAGAAGTTTGTAAACTTACTTATTGAAGATGCTCATAGGATGTACTTCCTCTATGCACTGACACAATTTCACGCATCCCTGTGAATAGGCACTTCCTTCGTTCTAAACTACAACTCAACATCTGAACAATGTAACATTATTATCGCTTGCTGGAAGCAATGCATTATGGGATATGTAGTTTTGAGGAATCGAGATTACATCACCACAAGCAGCAGGGAAAGAGATACAAAGCACATTGCAAATCCAGAAAGTTGGTGAAAGTGATGGGCAGGTAGAAGGCAGCACTAACTACATAAAAGGTTTTTTTTTCAAGGAAACTGACTACATTATCAAAAGCAACTCTAGTATGTATTCCTGTTACAATGCTGATGATGTAACAGGACAGTATATGCTGGGACTTTAGAACTCCTTTAGATGCCCATTTATTTTTAATTTTCAATTAATAGGTACAGTTTTCATAAGGATCAAAAGTATACATACAGTATAAGACAGATAATTGAAACATTATGGTGTTTATTGCATACACTTTTTACTTCTTGCTATTTGTCCCATAAAAATAGTATTTCTGTCGTTCTTTGACATCTAATGAAATCCATAAATTAACTATATGTAGAAAACCAGGGCAGTCTACCACCTTTTTTTTTTTGTCTGGAATTCTCTGCAAACAGCCATAGATAATTTACATACTAATAAACACATTTGCATGACACCTTTTCATGTTTTCTCTATCTCTGTAGTGCAGTGTAGGCCTGACAAACCACGTGAGGAAGGTCCACACACAGTGGTTAATGACAGGTTCTGGCTCTGAATAGCCGATTGCCACTGTGTAAAAATTTGTATTAAGATGCCAGTAGATGTAGTTCGGGTACAATTTACCATAACAGTAGAAATGTTGAATGCAGAAAATAAGTCAATAAATAAGATGTCATCAGGAAAGGAGGGTGAAATAACATTTGTATTTTTACACTATACATTAAATCGTATGTTGTGGCAACCATCTAACAGGTACTTTTAATCCCCTCTATACAAGAGAAGTACCCTAATGCACGCTATGGATCATGTAGATTAGTTTCTTCTGAGGGGCAGTCCAGCTAAAACTGCCATTTTTAGTTTCCATAGTTGCTAAACCGTGAAATTACATCTAAAGCCAGACTTGTTCTTTTAGTTTTGGATACTTTAAAAGTTTTAGCTTCCGGCAGAATCGTCTGGTCTCCTGAGCACTGGCCTTGATATCCTGTTTTAGGGTAGCTTCTTTCTCTTGCAGGGTCCTATGGAGCCATCCTGGTGTGCTAGTAATTCGCCACAAACACACACCCCCCCCCCCCTTTCCTCTCTCTTCACTTCTCCTCCCTTTTCCAAGCGAGTAGTTAATTTGACAGCTGCTGGAGACTTTCTCCTTTGTGATCATGTACTGGACCTCAAGTTCAGGGAAGCAGAGTTGACTGGAGCCAGCTGTTCAGAAACATGATAATTGGGCAAACATTTGACAAAATAATTTTCTGGGGGCAATGTGTACTTGTTTGATCTGGATTGATTATTTTAAATAAAATTGAGAGTTTATTACTACTTCAACTGCTTGTTTTTGTTTAGGGGTATGTGTAAAACAGATTTACTTACCTGATATCTGCTCCCCCAAGCAGTTGGAGCTAATTATGTCTCCTCCCCCAAGCAGTTGGAGCTAATTATGTCTCCCTTACACTTTGACTTGTGGACTGTCCCTTGTTGTCCTCACCTGTAACAGGGCTATGGGCCCTACATTAGACTTGTTGATGTCATCGGTCCTCTGACTACCGAAGAGCAAGGAGACTGGCTGCAGGTTCCGGTCTTGAATCCTGTAGAAGCAGGGATCTGTTAAGTAAAAGTCCTTTACACAGTACCCTAGACAAAAACAGGCAGTGAACACTTGCAGTTCCAGGGGTAGCCAAACTGCAAAGGTATTTCTTTCTTCATGCAGATAGGCTTTAACCATTCCCTATCCTATCCCCAAATGAATATAACAAGTTTTTGCATTTGAAGCTACCATCAGTGGTGACATCTCTGCTTTTGAGTTTCTGGATATACAGACCTGCCACAGCTGTTCCAGGGGCTTTTTGTGTTCTTTGATGAATTTTAGTTTATTTTATATTGAGGAGAATGCAACAGGAGGATTGCAAGCGCACAAAACTTCGAGGTGGCCAGGAGCAGTGTTAGGGACTGTGACAAAGAGATTGGATTGCTGGAGACAGCTAGAGATACGGAAAGCCAGTGAATGACTCCAGAATTATAAATAGAATTAAAATATTACACTTGGTTGGCCTGTCTCTTAAAAGAACATACTAGTCAACTTGCATTTGTGTTTGGAACTTTAATGGGTAATTACAATAATTTTGTGCTTGCTTGTATTTTTTTGTTTTTTCACACACATCAATTTTAGATATATCAGGTTTGAATGGACCAATAAATGTAATCAACATTACTGTTTACTTGATTAAGTATGACATATTTATAGTTTTAGAGTTTGCACACTATCATGCAATAATGCTGCTGGGCAGGTCGCTCACAGGCAGATGCTCCTACTTAGTAATTGTGTATTGGTACAAATAAGTTACGGATGTGTCTTATTTTTGAATCATTTGGATATAATTACGACATTCCTTTTTTTACAGGACGCTCATGCGGGTCATAAAGACGTGCTCAGAGTAACGTCATCCTTCAAGACTCTTGTGGTAGGTTGTTTGTCTGGTTGCATATATATTGCCATTGTGTATAGTAATATAAGGGCTGTAAGTAATGTAAAACTGCTGAAATCTTTCTTCTTACACAATGTGGGTCATGCCTAGACAGGATCCTCCCCATAGTGACGGGAGACGTACACTGTACATCCCCGCCACGAAGTGCCCAAATGACTGATCACGTACACTGTAAGTGATCAGCTATTTTGGACTCTGTAAATCTGGTAACCACTGAGAATGAGCGGTTACCGTTCATTAATGGATGCCACAGTATTGAGTCATCCATTAATGAAAGAGTTAAGCTTTACAGACACCCATTCTCTTTCAGGAATCAAGTGTCTTGACAGTGAGAGCAGAGCGGTATTGACAGCGCTTGCCGTCACTGACAGTCGTGAAAAGTGTAAAAAAAATAAATGTAACAAATAAAAATTATATATTTAAATATATTTTTATACTAATATTAATATATAAAGGAACCCATTACAATGTAAATCTGCATATTTTGTTTTTCACCCTAAGGGGCTAATGCTCATTTAACCCCCCTCATGACAGTGATGTTTAAAGTATGTCGCTGTCACTAAGTGTGACACTTAGTGACAGTGATATTGTATGCCAGGTGACCACTTTTAGCTTTTAGAGAAAAAAAGATTAAAATGTTAGGTTTAGTGTAGAAGTACAGAAACATTTCTAAAATCCTAGGAATGTGAGGTTTTTCCAGATAACGGACAAATGAATGTATTTAATGCATTTTTTTTTAGCTGTGCTATTTTTTTCTAAAAAATACTACAAATCAAAACTGGGGAAAAAGTGTTTTCTTTACGTTGTTTCCTCAATTTTAATATTTTATTTGTCCTAAGTGAGACGTTAGGTACACATATGTGATATAGATATATAGCCCTATCTGTCCTCTAAAAAACAATATGTATAATATGTGTGGGTGCACTTAGGGAGAAAGTATATTACTGATGTGGAAGTATCACACAGCAAAAATGTCAAAAGTGCGTCAGTCATTAACGAACAGAATCTAAAAACAAGCTCAGTCATGAAGGGGTTAAAAGATATGTTAATTCTTAATAAAACATCCTCATGTTCAGCCTATTTAGACTTACATAATTTCTTTTACATGCATGTCTTTTGGCTACTATCCTAAAGTTAGAAGTAATCATTTTTTTACATTTGTGGTGTTACATAAATATATGCTGAGTTAAAGTGACACTAAACTCAGGAGTTAAATCTTAAAAATGTATTCAAATACCCTAACTATTAACATAAATGTTGTTTGGCGCAAAGTGTTGCAGGCGGCCGTTTGAGGGAATTTTTTTGTTTAAGTTGGGTTTGTTGTTTCTGTTGGCCCACCCCTCTTTTTTGGTACTGCTCTGTGACGTCCCTACAGTACATGATCTCCGATCTGTTCCCTGTGTCCTTCAATCAACGGGAGAGAAAATAAGATTTTGGTACTTACCGTAAAACCCCTTTCTCTCCGTTCATTGAAGGACACAGGGCCCGCCCCTCTATGTGGGTGTGTACTCCTTTTACTGCTTGTTACTAAACTGGAGACTTGTCAGCAGGTGGGGGGTTTGGCCACCGGCAGGGGCCGCCCCTAGGCTGTAATTGGTCTTTATTTTTTTGTGCCTAGCGTCCTTCTCCTGCAGGTGGCGATATTACCCTACAGTACATGATCTCCGATCTGTTCCCTGTGTCCTTCAATGAACGGAGAGAAAAGGATTTTACGGTGAGTACCAAAATCCTATTTTGCCCTACAATTATACTTTTTCTATGAACAGTATTTTTCTGAGTCATGTTCCTACATCTTGCATGTAAAATAATCACCATATACTTAATTAAAAAAAAAAACTGCACTACTACAGTTTTAAAGCACAGGGAAATCTCTAAATCAGGTGTCTTCTTGGCTTCTTTAAACAATAATTGCATCTTTTAATGACGTGTGTGATGTAAAACTTTCTACTCATTTGTTAATCAACTACTTAAATTATCAGCACTTGAATTAGACATACAGCCAGCATATAACTAGACCTACATTGCAGTGGGGTCAGTTTACTAAGGGGCATGAGTTATTTTATCTACATTTATTTATTTATAGTATCTCATAAGCATTTCCTCATCAAAATGTTCAGATTGCGTCTAAATAATATGTTATGTTTATGCATTAAATAGTTATATAACTCTTAAATCAGTATTTGTACTTATGAATGGTTGTTATATCTCCAACAAAAAATTGTCTTTAATTGTCTGCTTTCTTCAATAGATATCTTTATAGCACCCCACAATTGACTGCAGCTAAAAGCCATTAAAGGAGCCCTGTAGGCTTTTTTTAGTCAGTTTATAAGAGTTTAAAGTTGGCAGTCTGCGTGCACGCTAATGCTGCAAACATTCATTTATCCCACTCTAGGATTTAGTGAAACAAGGGGCATTTCTTCAGTTCTTAAAATAACATTGATTGCATTTGTTTAACAGACAGACTGGCACTGAGTGGGGTTGCCCCTTCTTTGTGAAAGCTACAGTTTCCCCCTGAGGTTGGGTTTTCTAGTGTTACGGAGAAACCACATCAGCTTTTCAGTTGCCGCTTGTGATCACATTCAGAGGAATGAGCATTTCTCAGAATACACAGGAAAGTTGCAAGTGTTGTTTCTGCAGGTTTTCCTATAGGTACAGCAAAGTCAATACTGAATCTTTGTGCTGTATCTCATGATATCTTTGGATTATTCATTAAGATATGATCTGCCACTGGAAAAAGAGTATTGTTTGTCTATTTTTTTTTCTGTATATCCACATCTTCTTGTTTAAATTGTTTTTAAACTTTAAAGGCCTCATGTAAATTTAAAAGTTTTTGTGTCAACTAGAATAAGTGTAACTGTATTTCTCTAAACATAAGTGTATATAGTATCAGGACTAAATATGGCATTCATGGTTCCATTTTAGTAATTTGACATCTGGGAAAGACGATGCAGAATGGTTTGGTAGAAAGCTAATCCTGGAGCATTGGCCTACTATTTGTACACTATTGGTTCACCTCTATGTCACACACTCCTCTTCATAGACCTTGTGTCTCTCTGGTACCCGCTCCATCTTCCCCTGTGCTACTTTTACAGTGTATCATTGTTGGGGATCTGTTTAAACTTTAACAGCAGAACAAAGAACATGCACGACAACAATAATGTTTAGCAATATACAACCTGTAGTCTTTTGTTAATTATACGTCCAAAAGATTTTGTGCCTTACGTAAACATGTACAGTTTCATAAAATCCTTTGATCACAATGATACAATAAGATTTAAAAAAAACTTGAATGTCTAGGAGTTATGTTTTCTGAAGGCTTTTAAGAACCAATTTAAATGAGCTAACATATTGGGTAATGGGATAATTTGACAGTAATTGGGATGATATTATTACTTTACTGCAACTGCACATGAAGTGTTATGTTCCTAGTGGCATTGCCATGTGTTATGGTGATTTATGAAGAGTATGACGTAAAAGTATTTTACTGAATAATGTTATTAATCTAGCATCTTTTGTGTGCCCAAAATGTGTTTTTTCAGAGACTCCCCAATATCACATTTGCAGAGCTATCTGTCAATGAGGACTTTGCTTTTTTGATCACATTGAACGAAACTCTATCTATAATTAATATCCAATTCCACCTTAATGTACAATTGTGCAGAAGAGGTCCTGATTCCACTACCCCACCATGCCGCTATGGAGTATGAGTACCACGTCATTTATATCCATTTTCACTATCTAAATGATGGAGTAGGTGTTTATTACTGATTGGAGAGCAGGAACTGCCTTGTTTGAGTCATTTCTTCATTGGAAGTCTTGCCAGACTTCAGATAGCCAGAGAACTCTTCTACCCCTGGCTAGGGAGTGGCGAATTTGCTTTCAGTAAACGCCAAACTGAACCTTCATAGTGGGTACAGAACCAAGATAACTAAACCAAAGCTATAATGCGACTATCATCTTAGTTTTGACTATCTTACAGTAAAGAGTTAATATACTTATCTATGCTTACAATGGAAGAAAAAATCAACAGCATTACCTTAGGAATTGCATTGGAGTAGTTCCTGTCCTTTGGTCCCTGGTAGTATAGTTTTAGTCCTTGTGCATCCATTATGTCTTTTGAGTCATGGAACATAACTAAAGCAGAGCATTTATAGAAAATGCCAGATCCTAGCGATCACATTTCATTTTTACTAATTGATACATGTCTCCTGTCTATTTGTCTGTGTATTCTAGGCACAGTGTCAGGACCTACGCAAGAGGAAGCAGCTGGAGTTGCAGATACTTTCAGAACCCATTCAATGTTGGGAAGGAGAAGACATTAAATCTCTTGGAAACGTTGTTTATATGTCGCAAGTTATGGTACAGTGTGCAGCAAATGAGGTATCTTACATTAAATTGCAGGTTCTCTTAGCCATGAGTAGGGCTACACGCTTTAAGCTTCGCCTCTCTAATATATGCTGCACATAAAAGACAGTGACCATATGCCATGCAGTGCATAAGGCTAACCTACCATCCCAACTGGAGCTCTACAATATCTCTGTGTTTCTATTTGATCCTGCAGCACAACCGATACTGTGTAACTGTGTTCTGGTTTATAAACTGGAAAATCCTTTATTCTTGTGAGATTTGACCCTTCGGCCCCTGGAAAATCATCCACCACAAAGGATTGTATACTGATTCTCCTTTTTAAAAAAAATACCTTTGTGTATAGTTTGCGATAACCAGGATAGAGCTGCAGCTAACGATTATTTTCAAAATCGATTAGTTAGCCGATTATTAAGTTCGATTAATCGGATAAAAAATTAAAATACATTTTAAAAATGGGCTCCAGTGATAGGACTGCTAGTTTGTATTGCGATTGTAGTCCATCACAGGAGCAAGCTTAGAGCAGTGGAAGTAAAAAAGAAAAAAAAAGAAGTGTGGTGTGCAATATAGTGAAATTAAAATTGTAAAATTATACAGCAATGAATGCAGAATGGCACCGGCTATAGAGGACTACAAAACCCAGCAACAATGCATTATAGCTGGCGGTATTCTGCATTGCGCTGTATAATGTACTATTGCTGGGTTTTGTAGTCCTCTATAGCTGGTGGTGTTCGGCATTGTGCTGTATAATGTATTGCTGGGATTTGTTGTAGTCCTCCATAGCTGGTGGTATTCTGCATTGTGCTGTATAATGTATTATTGCTGGGATTTGTAGTCCTCTATACAGCGCAATGCAGAATACCATCAGCTGTATAGTAATACAACAAATCCCAGCAATACATTATACATACAGTGTATAATGTATTCCTCTATAGCTGATGGTACATTGCTCTGTATAATATACAGTACAGCACAATGTACCATCAGCTATAGAGGAATAAAAATCCCAGCAATACATTATAGAGCACCATGTGTGGGAAAGTGCAGGCGTACCTGAGCAGTCTTCCA